CTGAGTCACTGAAAAAATTTGGTGGATGGCTCCATCCAAAGACCATGTAAGAGTACTGAGGAAGATCTAAAAATTAGAAATAACTTATTTGGAAAAATTGCTGATCGAATGAAGAAGGGGGCTCGTTTATATAGCTAAACAGGATAAAAGCAGATGTAGGCCTGACAAATCAATAAGACAGTGTCATTTGAAGGCAGATTATAAGGGGTATAGCCCTCTTAGTTGCTCAAATGGATCATTGTGCAAATTAGAAAAAGCTGCCCCTGCCTCATGACATTCTTAGTATCATTTTCTGGAAAATTTGTTTTACAATTAAACAAACCAACCTGTGCTGTCTGTGAATGGGAACGGTCCACCTATAGTTGTGCAGTGTATAAATTGCACAACAGTATATGGTAGCCCTAAATTCGAAGAATTTTTCTTCAGATTCATACTCATTAGATACACGATATTATAACAACATTAAGAAAATATTTTTTTCTGAAAATACTTTTTACACATGATTTACATATGATTAGGATTGGTCTAAATTTCTTAACATGGCCTAAGATTACCTTTCCAACATTATTAGTGATTTTCAATTTTTCCAAGTTCCCTTCTAGTCACTACCAATATGCACATATGTTTTTAAAAATTACTGTAATGGTAATCAGCATGCAATTTTCTACTCTGATTTTCCCATTTATAATAATAGTATAACATTTTTTATTGCTATACTGTCTTTCTTTTAATGATTTATTCTATAGTTTTATATCAAGCAAACATATAATAAATTCAACCATGCTTCTTTTGTAATTTGAGGAACTTTAATCCACATGTTGTGATTGGTAATATTCTACATATAGGAAACAAAGTTATATTGAAAACTTTTAGAGAAAGAAGTTATTTAGATAGTATAAACAGGCAAAATGGTAACTATCCTTCAAAAAAATCATACCAAGATGAATATTTTATTGGACTATGGGTAATGAAGAGCTGAATTTCTATTTGGGTATTTTTTGTCTAAAGATCATATTTCTCCACTTGTGTTTACACTGTAATGAACCATTTTGGGATTAAAAACTCTGGAGGTACATTCCACATAAACATAGTGCAGTAAGATACACTGCCGAGAAGCAACGGGGTGTAGTGGAAAACATGTGGGTTTTGGAATCAAATGAACTTGGACCGCTGTGCTTGAAATTTTATGTTCCACAAAAAAGACTTGCACAGGAATGCTCAAAACAGCTTTATTTATAACAGCCCAAACTGGAAACAGCCCAGGTGTACCTCAGTAGGAAAATGGATAAATAAACTATGGTATATTCTCCCATGGAATACAATTCAGCAATAACAGAATGAACTTCTAACCACACACACAAACGTGAGTGAATCTGAAAACTATGCTCAGGGAAAGAAGCCTTACACAACACTACATACTTTATGATTCCGCGACGTGAAGAGCTAGAACAGGTGAAGTTAACTCATGTGGAAAAAAAAAAAAAATCAGAACATTGGTTGCTTCCAGAGGTTGAGGTGGGAATTTACTCAGAAGAGATATAAAAGAACTTTTGGGGATGATGGGCATGTTCTGTAACTTAATGGGGGTTGTATGTGTTTTTCTGGAATCATGTCATGGGACCCTTAGGATTTGTGCACTTCATTGTATGTAAAATGTCGCAAAGAAAATAAAAGAACTTAAACAAATATTAAACTCTAGTTAATGACACACATGCCGAAGTATTTCAACTTACCTTGAAATTCATAAAAACTAAGATGGGTCGATGGCTGGATAAGAGGGATTGAGGTATAGACAGGAAAACGAGCAAGGATGTTGTAATGTATTGATTACAGATTCCTCGTTTTCCCGTGTTATTGAAAATGTTCATAATAAAACATTGGAAAGCCTTTTTTGATCTTGGGCATGCTCATGAACTTCTCAAATTCAATTTCTCAAAATGGGGGTGGTAGTATTTACCTCATGAAGTTGTGAAGTTAAAAAAAATTGCCACAAATATAAGCTCGTTGTATGGTAGATGTTTCTGCACCTGGCAATGCTCCTTGCCTTCTTTCTGGCCCCCTCTTACCCGTCTTGCCAGTTTATAATATGTAAAAGATATGTCTTCTAGGATTCTGTAGCGCTGGCTACGAGCAGGTGGTCTAAAATGGTGTATAGCACAATAATTGGTGTTATGGGGAATGACCTGTGCGCTGACTGTGGAAGATATATTTCTTGAGTGGAGGGACAGCTTTTATGAATGGCGGTGGCTCAGGGACAACCTGTGGTGATATTTGCTCCACACAGATTAATGGAAGGGAGAGACGAAGGACAGACTGTTACAGGCAGTCATCAAATGGGTTTTGATATTTAAAAACTAAATAGTTCTTCAGGTCACTAAAAGCTCCATTTGTGAGCACTCACTTATGTCAGAAATACTAATCCAGGGTCTACAGCATGCCTGGTATTGTGTCAGGAGCTGGGGCTGCAGAGATGGACGAGACACACAGACATGGTGCCTGTCCTCTTGGAGTTTACATTCTAGCAGTGCTCAAGTTGGTTGGACTTCCAGGAATCCGTCTGTTAGCCAGCAAATATTTCCTGAGTATTCACTCAGTGCCAGCACTTGGAATGCCATACTGAACCAAACATGCTCCACACTCGCATAGAGCTTACTGTCTAACAGAAAAGCCAAATTTGATCAATCCACACCAATAAATCCACTATAAATTAGAAACGTGCAAAATACTCTGAAGGAGAAGTACAGGTTACTTCAGGAAATTCAGGCAAAAAACTATTCCCCTGTCGCCTGGGTGAAAAGAATTTCCCCTGCTAAAGTTTGCTTAGAGTTAGGAGAGTAAGGTGAGCCCAGAACGGACTGGAAGAGCCATGGCTCATGCCAGGTCGGCAATGGAATGAAGAACAGAATTAGTTATCCCAGGAGGCGATGTAGTCAGTCACATTGTTTGCTCATTCCTTTTGATTTCTTGTTGGTTTATGCCTTAGGAGTCCCAGTATAGTTCAGCTACACAAATCAAAGTGAGAATGGCCTTTAGCCATACTGAGGAATTCTAGAATTAAGTTTGTCTTCTGTCCCATCCAAGACTACAGCAAACACTCCGACACTTGGAGGGTGCCAACAAGCTGCTGGAGAATACACAGGGTCTGGGATCATTAAACGAAGCAATTATAAAAGAAGCAATTACACGATCCACCTACTGCAAGATCATGCCCCTCCCCGCCCCCGCCCCCCCCCCCCCTCCGCCCCAGTTGCGGTCACTGGCTCTGAGCAGAAAAGGTAGCAGCAAAGAGAACTGATGAGAGGTGTGTGTGTGTGTCACAGACAAAAACCGCTGCCCCTACAATCATAACACATTCTGGGAACAAATAAACACTAAAGCATCACTGCACTACACATTCTTCAGTGGGGATGAGCTGATCTGGGGGACTCCGAACTTCTCACCTCTGAACCAGGAGGGAGCTGGGCTACGTTTGGAGAACTTCCCTTTCCAGCACTATCAGCAGACATACAACAGGTGCACAATCAATACTCGTTGAATTACTACAGGTTTCTTTCCATTTGCTCCCCGATTCCCTGGACGGAGAAGAAAAATTTAGAAATATCTAGTGATGGGCAAAGGAAATATACAAATGATGAGTTCATTTACAGCTGTGTTCTGATCCAGCCAAGAAGTAGAACTAAGTCCTGAGTAGTTCGGCTTCTGCTTACGGCACAAATCTGCCTCTCTGTCCGGGGAAGTGATTAGGACGAAAGGGCATATTTCATGGCCTCCTCTTAAAATCAAGAAGGGCTGAAAGGGAAGGAAGCCAAGAAAATCGGAGAGGGACAAGGCTGGGAAATTAGGCTGTAGGAGAGCTACAGCATTAGGCTGCCTAGCTTCACAGTCTCAGCCCCTCCACTAACTGTCGAGCTATGAAACTTCAGGCAAGTTACTCAGCCTCCACTGTCTCTTCTGTAATATGGGGACCTGTTCACAAGTGGGTTTTTTTTCCTTGAAAGAATCATCTCAAAAAAAAAAAAAAATCATCTGAGTTAAGGTCCTTAGCACAATTTCTGGCATATAATGAGTTCTCCATAAATTTTAGTTTTTACTCTTAATAATTTTCTAAAATGATCCCCATTTCCTCTCTAAGATTTTTCACTAAATGTGATTTGCTAACTATATAACTGGAGGTAATATATCACAAGTCTGAAAGACCTTTTGTATAAATATTTCACAAATCGGGGGAAAAAATCCTTCTCACTCCCTGATTTTTGCCTCGGCTCTCTGTGGCCCCTAACACGCACACACAATGGGTCTGGTCTCTCTGAATTGGAATTACCCTCCTCCCAAAGCAGGCTATCGTCACACATCACACAACCTGACCGAAGATTCAGGGTTGGTTCCTCTCTTAAAGACAACTATGCTTAGATAAACGGGATTACTTTGCTATAATCTCAGGGTGTAAAAAGTCCAAAGAATCTCTGCAGTCTGGGTGGGTGCGCGCTTGGTCTCGGGCCTGGATTTGTCTGCCAGGCCTTGCAGAGAAAGAGGACAGACCGCATTCACCTAGAGCAAAATCAGGCTGACACAGGAAAGATGTTTTATGCTTTGTTTACATGGTAAGTGTCCCGACTCTTGGAAGAACAGTCGTGCTGAAAAATTGACACGCTTTTCCTTCTGGTATGTCTTTGCATGAATTGCTCCCCTCTCTGCAAGAGTAACTGATACCATCTGTGAGCATTCTGGGCCCTTCTCTCTCCTCATTCCCTTTCAAGCTGCATGTTTCTCTTCTCTGCCTTCTTTCAAAGGTGCAGGCACACAACCCCCCCCTCCCCCCAGCTAATTGCCAAAAACACTAGATCTGAGCTCTGTCCCCAAGCCTTTTAACCCCTCGCTTCCAGCCCCGCGTCTGAAGGCGAAAACAATCCTGGGAGCCCGGCCCTCCCACTGCCTGTGATAGGCTGCCTGGAATAGCAACAGCCTGTGTCACCGAAAAGGGCAAAGCCTTCGGAAATAGAAACAAAGTTGGTTACAAATCACACTGGGTTGTTTTTTTTTTTTTCACCCTTCTTTAGCAGGCGACCATGGGGAAAGTGACCACTGCTGTCAGAGCGGGCAGCCGGGGCGGCGCGGTGCCGCGGGGGCGCCTGTAACTTCTACGCGACCATGGTACCTGTTGAAAACCGCGAGGGCCCCGGGCTGCTGAGCCCCAAGGGGAGAGCGGCCGAGACCGAGGGCGGCGGCGCAGCCGGCGGCGGCCGGCATCCTCCCGGGGCCAGAGGTAAAGTGAGGCACGGGCCGGCCGCAGCGGCGAGCTGTACTCGGCTCTCGCTCCTGTGTGTGCGCGCGTGTGTGTGCGTGTGTGTGTACACGTGAGCGGGCGAGGGGCGTGGAGAGAAGGGGACAGGATCCGGTGGGAGCAGGAATGACAAGGAGCTGTAATGTGAAGATCCAAGTCCCACTACTGGCAGGATGGGTCCATTGACTGTGTTGGCAGAATGTAGAACTCGTTCATTTGGGGACAGTGACCGGCAAGAGAGTCCCATGTGTAAACATACACACACACACACTTTTTCATTTATTGTCACAAATGGGCAATCTGTAACAAGTGGACATTTACAACCATGTTTTAAATCAGTATTTTCAGTAGGCTCCAGGAAAGTATTAGTTATGTAATCACTGAACACAACTTTCTTTTTTAAGTTCCCAGCCTCCGTGTGTAATGAATTTGTAAAGAATTCAAGCCGAAAACATCTGCTTGATTTGCTCCTGCTCTCTTTCCAACTGGCCTTTCAAACTGAGGTTCCTTTAATACTCTTTCTTTTAGGTGGTGAAATCTGAAAAAGTTTTAATTCATTTCAGTGATCTTTAATCTGCCGAATGCTGTTCTTCACTTCCACATTCACAATTCCCACAAACATGTTGCAAGCTTTTGGCCATCCTTTCCTACTCTTTTAGCTGGTTCTCAAAGGAATAGAAACTAATCGTAATAGGAAATTAAATCAAACACAAATAATTCTCTAATTCTCTCTCTCAGCTCTGCTCCCCTTCACCATACCATAGATTCCCAGGCCATAGATTGGAATTTCATGAATAGTCCAGAACACTAAATGATACAAAAGGCATGTACCTTTCACCTTGCGATGGATATATAAAGTTATGTTTGCGTCCTGGGTTTGTCTGATCTTGGACTTGAATCCACAACCCCTCTGTCAGAGGCGCAGATTGGCTCCTAGGCAATGAGAAGCTGTCAGCCTTCCCTTACCCTGAACCCTGCTCAGCTTTTCTCCCGCTTTCCCACTTCTGCTCAAGAATGAACGTCTGGGGCCATCCTTCAGGATGGCTGAGTCCCTCTCTTAAGCAGAGCTGCCTTTCTCCCAGGTGCTCTCTGGCTCAGTCTCAGAGCAGCCCAGGGAACCTTGTATTTGAGGGTTCATGGAAAGAATCGCAATGTTCTCTCCGAGTTCTGAAAGATTGAGCCGCAGAGCTTGCTGAGGTGGCCAAATCAACAAAAGTTCACTAAATAGTCATGATAATGTCACAAAGAAGAAAAGAAACTTTGTCCTGAGGGGGCTCTACAGCAACAATTAAAAATGGACTATTTAATTTTGATACAGCTTTGAAAGCACGGTGTACTCTTAATAGGTTAAATTGTGCAAGTGCACAATTATCCTGAAGTAAGGTCACAAGTATTGTGTTTGGAAAGATTGAATATACGCACAAAATGCAGTTTAAAGTGCAACTGTTTGTGTTCTGAAGAAATGACAAATGGATAAATACTGTAAGTTATTTTTTAAATTTAATTCTAAATGAACCTTTATTATATACAAAAGGAAGCCGAAATTTTCCCTAAAATCCTAAGTGAATAAAACTTTGATCTGTGCTATAGTTTACATTTAGATGAATATAAACATTTTAACATTACTTGTGTAAATTTTCCTAAATTTTCTGAGACATCTCTTGGTACCCAAAGGCAATTATATATATATCTACCAAATGCATAGTGCAAGCTCGCTCTTTGTTTTGGGATTATACTTTAGTCTGTTTTATAAAGATGTTGAGGCTTAATGAAATAATGCTTGTCAAATACTTCTTTTGACTTCTTTGTATTTTAAACTTTCATAGTTTCATCCAGGAAATTCAGAGTATTTAAATATGCTCAATAATTATCATTCTATTCCTACATTTGAAGACACAAGTTTTTCTATATTCCTAGATGGGAAAATTAAAGCACAAAGAGGAACAAGTCATACAACCCAGGGGAAGATAATTAAACCATTCGAGATACTGAAAACCAAATCAAAACAAAAATTCCTAAACTCCATGATTGCACCCTCAAATACTTTTATGCACAATAGAAAGTGCTGGCAGATCTTGCTCGGCCATCCCTTCTTCAGCTGGAGAGAATGCTTTGTTCCAATGACTAGAAGCTAATGAACTTAAATTCATTTTCAAGAAGCTATGATTCAAAGTGTATATATTTTCAGTAAATTTTTTAGTGTTCACAGACATATTATAATTGATCTCCTAGGCAGGGTTGAGCTCAATCCAGGTGCCTAGAGCCGACCACGGTGTAGGTGATATTAGAAAAGTACGCCGCTAGAACATCTCACACAAGGGAGAGATGTGTGGTTGGCCCAAGTTCACTCAATGCTGGTGCAAAACTGACCGTGGTGTGTCTGGCCTGGGAGGCTGGATGCCTCCTCCTCTATCTCAGGAGATGGGTCTCCTAGGCTCTTCTAATTTCATGTTTCAGATGACTGGCTAAGGGGAGGGTTTCCTTAAGGCCCCCTCTACCCTACCAGCACCCACCCAAACGTTCCGAAACCAAGAACAGTATTCATTGTATGAATGCAGGTTCTCAGCACAGCAGATCCCGCTGCCGAATGTACTGGAACCCAGGTCACTAGAACTGAACTCACTGACCCAGTTGGGAAGACTGGGCTTCATCCCCGCCAAGACCCTTCTCAATCCAAGATGCCACAGCCTGAGACTTAAGAAATGCACTCTTGGGCTAACCAGATGAGTAGCCAAAGGCAGTTCTCAAACTTGTTTAAATCTGTGAAACTCCTTTTGACAAAGGAAAAGCTGAAGAGGTGATCAATATGTAAGAGAAGTCATCATGGCACCTCTCTAGGGAGAAGAGGGGAGGTAGAAAAAGGAAAAACCTGAGGCAGGTGTCTCCCTGCTCCATTCCTATCCCTTGAATCCCTGAGCAGACTCCTGCCCGGGTGGGGCCGCAATAGCAAACCACAAGTCCATCACTCCTCTGCTTATGCAGGCCGTGTTACTGAGGTCAGGGCATTTTTACTATGCTCTTACTGAGTCTTGGAGTCCCAGGGTAGGCCTTGTCAGAGAGCTGAGGAGACTTTTAGAAGCAAGCTTATCCCCAGAGAAAAGTAAGTCAGGCCAACCAGCCTGACCTCATAACAGAGCCTTGGTTGTGAGAGGAACAGTTCTAACAACGAACCAGTCATTTTGGGAAGACCCAGGGCCTTAGCCATTACCATTTCTCCAGGCTTTCCATATATCAAAGAGTGACTGTGTTTGATTGTGTTTTAAAAACACACATATTTAATAAATTAATGGCTGATAACAGCAAAAAGTGATGGTATGCAGCTTGATATTGCCATGGGAGTGACGGGATTTATAGACATGTGAATCTGTGAGGGGCTGTAGACTCTTGTCTGGAAATAAGACTAGATTTAAAGGTAACCACCTCTCTTCACTTCAGTCAGCTTATCTCTATGATTGTGCATTTCACGTCACTTGGAAATCACACCAAAGTCTAAATTTGAGGCTTTTTGTGACTGTGAGGCTCCAGCAAGTGGCTCCTCCGAGATCTGGAAAGAGAGAAGGCCCTAAACAAACATGGCAGCACCTGTTTCAACACAAACTCTGGGGGGTGTCTGGCTCGGGCAGCCAGGGCTCTTGCTTCCCTTGGAGATCACGGTGACCTAGAGAGGGCAGAGAGGTTGCCACTTGCCACAGACTGGCTGCCGGCAGCCCCCGTAGCAGCAGAGAGGCATTGGTGGGAGTCTTCCAGTGGCAAGGCCTGGCAGACACCGACGGGGGCTTCATGCAATGAGGCTGACCTGGGGAGGATGGAATTAGTCAGCAGGCACTGGTGGGCTGAGCTGGTTTCACAGCTCACGTGTATTCGAATCGGTCAGTGCCCCTTTCCCGGTCATTAAATATTTTTAACGTCATCTTTCTGTCTGGTAAGACTGCTAGCAGGAGTGGAGGTCTCAGAGATCCCAGGAACAGGCCTGGTGGTAGCCCTTCACTTACATTGTTTGTGAATTTTCAACAAGGTACTTTTTAGTGGGCTGGATCTCATATTAGCTTGTAAAACAAACAAACAAACACCCTCAAAATACAATGAATCCACCCTGGAGCCACCTAAGGAAACTGTGATTTACATGTATAAATGAAAGGTGATTCGGCCAATTTTAAAATGCTGTTTTTAATTGCTGTAGATATGTGGGAATCTATTGTTCATTCAAGAATAGTTAGTTCTTGAATATGGTTTTGTAGGTAGCATTTTCTCAATAGTAGGAACCTAAGTAATATTTAGCCTAAGGGTGTGAGATGTTCTGAGAGCTCCCAGTGGCCCTCCATTAGTGCGCACTTAGCTTGTGCCTCTAAGCGTTGAAACAATTATTTACTCAGATTGTGTGAGTGAGCACTGGTTGTCTGTGATTCTTTTTTTTTTTTTTTTTTTAAGATTTTGTTTATTTATTTGACAGAGAGAGACACAGCGAGAGAGGGAACACAAGCAGGGGGAATGGGAGAGGGAGAAGCAGGCTTCCCACCGAGCAGGGAGCCCGATGCAGGGCTCGATCCCAGGACCCTGGGACCATGACCTGAGCCGAAGGCAGACGCTTAACAACTGAGCCACCCAGGCGCCCCTGTCTGTGATTCTTAAATGGAGCAGAGTTGGGGCTCCCTAGTTCAATTTTTCTCATGCACAGTTATCCCCAAAAAGATGAGTTATTGAATAAAATAGGGGATGAAAGCCATGTAAAAAGACACTGAGTTATGGTGGTGAGTAAGGGGGAAAGTTGGAATGGGCTTCTTCCCAAGGGGCTGTTTGACCAAATACCAAATAAGGATAATTTCTAATCCATCTTCCTTCAGAAAGTACCCGATCGCTGTTAAAGGCAAAAGACTTGGAATTGCCCCAGATATTTCCCAGCCGAAACTTTGAGTCAAATATATAATCTTTGTAGTAAATCATAAATTCATAGCGTTCTTTGAAATTTAAGTTTAGTTTGCTTT